TCCCCTCCTCCCACCTCAAGCCCAACCCCATCTCCTACCTACTAACCTCATCCCGCCCCCTTGACCTGTCCGTCCTCCCTGGACTGACCTATCTCCTCCCTACCTCCCCACCTCCACTCACCTTTACTGGCTCCATCCCTGCCTCTTTGACCTGTCTGTCTCCTCTCCAGCTATCTTCTCCTCTATCCATCTTCTATCCGCCTCCCCCTCTCTCCCTATTTATTTCAGAACCCCCTTCCCTTCCCCCATTTCTGAAGAAGGGTCTAGGCCCGAAACGTCAGCCTTCCTGCTCCTCTGATGCTGCTTGGCCTGCTGTGTTCATCCAGCTCTACACCTTGTTGTATCAATGAGAGGGAGGGTTGGTCATGGGATGATGACAGAGGTGGGGAGATGTTGAAACTGGTAAAGTCCACATTGAGACCATTGGGTTGTAGGCTTCCGGGGTGGAATATGAGGTGCTGCTCCTCCAGTGTCCGGGTGGCTTCATTGTGACACTGGAGGAGGCCCAGGTTGGACATGTCGTCCAGGGAATGGGAGGGGGAGTTGAAATGGTTCGCAACTGGAAGGTGTTATCATTTGTCACGAACAGAGCACAGATGCTCTACAAAGCGGTCTCCGAGCCTCTACTTGGCCTCACTGATGTGGAGGAGGCCGTATCGGGAGCAGCGAATGGAGTAGACCTGATTAGTGGATGTGCAAGTGAGCATCTGTCTGATGTGAAAGGTTTGTTTGGTGCCTTGGATGGATGTGAAGGGGGAGGTGTAGGGGCAGGTATAGCATTTCCTGCGGTTGCAGGGAAAGGTGTCGGAGATGGTGGGGCTAGTGGGGAGTGTGGAGCTGACGAGGGAGTCGCGGAGAGAGTGGTCCCTATGGAAGGCAGATAGGAGTGGGGAGGGAAATATATCCTTGGTTGTGGGGTGGGATTGCAGGTGGCGGAGAATGGTACATTGAATACGGAGATTAGTGGGGTAATACATTAGGACAAGAGGGATTCTGTCTTTGTTTTAGTTGCTGGGAGGGGATGTGAGGGCAGAGGTGCTGGAAACATGAGATGCGATTGAGAGCATTTTTTACCACTGAAGGAGGGATGTTGCAGTTCTTGAAATAAGAGGACATCTGGGATGTTTGGGAGTGGAACGTCCTATCTTGGGAGCAGACGTGGTGGAGGCAGAGGAATTGGGAGTAGGGGATCGCATTCTTGCAGGAAGGTGGGTGAGAGGAGGTGTAGTCTAGGTAACTGTGGGAGTCGGTCGGCTTGAAATAGATGTTGGTTTTGATGCGGTCACCAGAGATGGAGAGAGAGGTCCAGGAAGGAGAGAGAGGTATCAGAGATGGTCCAGGTGAACTTGAGGGTGGGGTGAAAGGTGTTAGTAAAGTTGATGAACTGTTCAAGCTCCTCGTGGGAGCATGAGGCAGCACCAAATACAGTCATCGATGTAGCGGAGGAAGAGATGGGGGATAGTGCCAGTGTAGCAGTGGAAGAGGGACTGTTCCACATACCCTATGAAGAGGCAGGCCACCCCCTTAGTCTTTAGGAAGTGGGAGGAGTTGAAGGAGAAGTTGTTAAGAGTAAGGACAAGTTCGGTTAAGCACATGAGGGTGTCGATGGAATGGGACTGGTTGGGCCTGCGGGAGAAGAAGAAGCAGAGGGCTTTTAGGCTATCTGCGTGGGGAATGCAAGTGTTCAGGGATTGGATGTACGTAGTGAAGATGAGGTGTTGGGGGCCAGGGAATTGGAAGTCTTAGAGGTGGAGGGTGTGAGTGGTGTCCTGGACGTAGGTGGGGGGTTCCTGGACTGGAGGTAGAAAATAGAATCAAGGTAAGCGGAGATAAGTTCAGTGGGGCAGGAGCAGGCAGAGACAATGCAGCGGCCGGCAGTCGGGTTTGTGGATGTTGGGAAGGAGATGGAAACTGGAGAACAGGATTGGGGAACGATGAGGTTGGAGGCTGTGGGCAGGAGGTCAACTGAGATGATAAGGTTATGGATGGTCTGGGAGATGATGTATTGGTGGTCATGGGTGGGGTCATGATCGAGGGGGCGGTAGGAGGATGTGTCAGAGAGTTAGCGCCTGGCCTCAGAGATGTAAAGGTCAGTGCGCCATACCACTACTGCACCTCCCTTATCCATGTATTTGATGGTGATGTTAGGGTTGGAGCGGAGGGCTGCACGTTGCATGGGGAAGAGGTTGAGGCGATCGATGTCACGACGGCAGTTGGAAATGAAGAGGTCAAGGGGGGGTAGGAGGCCTTGGAGTGGTGTCCAGGAGGATGGGGTGTATTGGAGGTGGGAGAAGGGGTCTGTAGAGGGTGGGTTAGACTCGCGCTTAAAGAAATAGGCACAGAGGTGGAGGCGGCAGAAAAACTGTTTGACGTCCAAGCGTGAACAGTATTCATTGATGTGTGGGCGGAGGGGAATGAAGGTGAGTCCTTTATTGAGGACTGACCTTTCGTCCTGAGGGCGAGGTCTGGGGGGATGGTGAAGACCTGGGGCTGGGGTTGGCTGTAGAGCTGGCAATGGTGGGGGTAGAGTTAGGGGTGACGGTTGGCGTGGAGTTAGGGGCAACGGAGAGGGTGGACTTACGGGTGACATCCTTGATGTCGCCTTGGAACTTTGTTACTGGAGTCAAGGTGTTCGTACTGTTACCTATCTCAGGGAGAACTATTTAAAGATCATTGGACTTTATCAAATCACAACTAAGCTAAATTATGTGAATTACATAATTGAACTCTAGACAGGGGGAAACATCACAAGTGCATCATGTTAGTTTGTTAAAGTGGTACTATGACAGGGAAGATAGTCAGAATGGAAGTCTATTTACAATGAAGAATGAAGTAGAGTGAAATTAAAATATCAGAATGATTGAAAATGAATCATAAATTGGAAATTCAAACGTCGACCCTCCAGTACTCAGATTAGATAATATTGAGGTACTTAATGTTAGATTTGAAAATTATGCTATCTCCCAAAAAACTACTAGAGTGATGCACAACAGTTATTACACGCTTATAAATCAATTTGCATAAATAGACTAGGAGAAATGTCTTTGGCTTTACATGATGTTCATGTAGCAGATGTGTTATCCATAAAACAACATTCTTAGAGACTCAATCCAGAGAAGTTAGCTCAACTGATGGAAGAGATCAAGTTTCTGATGGACAATGGTATTATTCATGTTATGCACTAAGTCATAGTATCTGAGCTCACCTATTGTCATGGATCATAATACAATATGATCATAGAATATATCATCACAATGGCAGATTCACATTTGATTCCATGATTAGGGATTATATTGAGAGGATTGTACAAACATAGTTTGCTTTTAAAATTGGCTTTTTGGAAGATATTGGCAAGTGTTATGATCCCAGCCAGTGGTGGTACTGTACAGCTCATATCCCAGAGTGCAATTTGGCCTACTGGGTCATTTTCTGCTTGTTTTAGCTGATGCAGTGGTTACACTTAGTCACAGATGGCTGCAGAGTTTCTGTAACATTATAACCAAAGTCGGTTACACAACAGACAAAAACAAAAAAACACTATCTAAATTTAGAACACGGTTAGAAAAATCTTAAAAAATATTCAACAAAACTAAGCTTCAACCTATTCACCAACACTATTACCTTACAGCAATTCAAATTCAGAGAAATGACACCTCTGTGTCAAACCTTTAAGTTAAACTTAACTGATTCTCTTCATTTTTGCCCTATGAACAGTGCAGCCTTTTTACAAGAGTACTCACAAAGCTAAGAGCTTAGAGTTTCTCAGCTTCTCGTAACCTATGGATTTCTAACCATATACCCCTGGTAGGAAGTAATTTATTCCCTTAACTGCTCTGAAATAAATCCTTTCTGGGAGAGACACTGTATTTGTTTCTGACCACAGTGAGGTCTTCTCTGAGCTGCACTAAAAACTCTCAACCTCTAGGTATTCTAAAGTCAGAACTAAAAACAAGTAAATGGCCTTCAATACGTACTCTAACTACTTAAGTCACCACAGTATAAATAATTTTCTATTAACACTCCAGCAGTTCCCTGCTTTCTCATGTATACTGGATTAGGTGACTATTCTGAAAGGACTTTTGAATCTAGGTTTTTTTTACATGTTCATAAAAATAACCAATGCCCAAATGCAACTATTTTATAATCCAGACTCAATGTGATGTTATACAGATCATACATATTTTATCACATAATGTCCATTGATTCTTCAAGAGAAGTAACAACTTTTACAACACTGGATGGACTTTTTCAACGTACAGCCATGCCATTTGGAATGAAAAAAACAAACCAGCAATCTTTCAATAATTAATCAACAAGGTCATCAATTGTGCAATTATGTTGTATGCAAGGTTGACTTAGTTGTGTTAATTAAAACCTAGGGAGAGCACTTGAGGAAATTGTTTGATAAGTTTGGTAAAGAAAGGCAGGAAGTCACAGCGTTCCTTTGAAAATATCATAACTGCTGACTACTGCACTGGCTATAACAGCACCAATTTATGAAACGCCATTTAAACTGGTTTTTGATGCCCATGACATCAGTGTTGGTGCAGTGTCGTTAGCAGAAGATAAAATGGGAATCAAGAGGCAAATCTTGTTTTTCTGGAAAATTGAATTCAGCCAACATAAATCTTCAAAGTTGGAGAGTCACAGAGCCTGCTCTTGAAGTTTACCTATCCCACAATTCTGCAGAGATTGTTATTTATATGAGCCATAATTCTTTAACCCTGTTTGAATAATTTCAGAATAAAGATCTTGAGACTCTTTCTTTGGTGCTTAATCCTTACAATCTCATGAGTAAGAAATTGTAACATGTAGATAAGAGTGATACTTCACTGAGGTTGAGTGCCTGTAAGGAATATTGCATGGAAAAAGAGTTGAATCTTTATTTTTGCTGTTTATGATAAGATCATTCCAAATTGTTACATTTATTTATACATATATAGAGAAAAAGTTTTGTTTTTCTCTTATCTTTTGTGTAATAAACTTTTTTTTCTCTTCAGTTAAAAGTACATTGGCAGCCTTAGGTAAGTATATTCAGTGACTGAACAAATAGTAAACAAATTGCAAAAATATAACTTCATGATCTATCAAACTAGGTTTTATTTTCAGATGTGACTTGTCCACTATTACCAACTGCTAGGATCATACACTTTGCCTCTTAACTCTTAATGCTTTTGTTAGGATCTATTACTAATAGCATTGAAAATACTGCAGTCCTCAAGGAAAGATTAGAAGTATTATGCAAATTTCAAATTGGTTCCAGCTGCTAATATGTAAGACTCAAAAATAGAGGCAGTGGTCATTGACTTAATTATCCTGATAATTAAGAAAATGAAACTACCTACAATTGATGTCAGCATGAGGACAAAGCAAGAATTATCATTTTAGACTTACACCAACTCTATTTTTAATGAGTTTTTGAAGATATAACCTATGTCTGCCTTTCTCAATAAGACCCTTCTATGTGAGATTGCTCAATTCATGTCATTTTTTTATTAAATGGGCTTGGTGTCTCAACAGGACAGCAGCATATTGTCTTTTATCTTCAACTGATTTTCATGGTGATAGAAATGTCCATCCAGAGTCAACTACTGGCATTTTTATGGCGTGAGCCTGAAGGCAATTTCTAAACAGCTACTAGGTCCCAAGTATTCTGAGATATCTGATTTAAAAAGGACAGAATGCTGCCATCCATTTAGTTTGCAAACACATGCCCTTTCCAACACGATTAGGACATAATGTAAAGAAGCATTAATGTAAGAAAGGTTTTGAAGTAATTGAGTTATTTTATTTACTTACTATGGTGATTGGAATGAGGGCTAGGCAGATCTCATTGACTATAAGATCCTTGATTGGGGTTGTTAACCTGGACCAATTCGGGAGCCCTGGCTGATAGATATCAATAGGAGATTCAGAGTTTCCTCATTCTAGAACTGGCTCTGAGATGGCTAGTCAGAGCCCATGTACTATGCACATATACATAAATGGTGACTTGATAATGGATACTGGTCTCTGTGCAGTTATTTCATTTACCAAGTCACAAACCCCTGTTAGGTAGTGCTGTAGCATGAAACCACATTGCATCATGTTTCACTTGGAGGTTAGTGGAACTATGACCTTTATGTTACCTGCAGCTGCTGTAAATGGCAATCCTCAGGTGTGTTTAACATGCACTTTTCTGGAAATAGAAATTTGCAATAGTGTCCATCCACTGTTCAAGGGGAGGTTAATGCTACATTGTGAACCGAAACAATAATATGCATTCCAGCAACTTCACTGAAACCTCAGAAAAGAAGCAGCTTAACTCTATTTTTTAAAAATACATGATGTTGTTACTATACATCAGTGGGGGCCAAATGTTTTGCATGGGGGGCACATTTCAATTTTTTACGCTTAGGGTCACAATAACATTAAAACAAATTCGAAAACAAGAAATTGAGAATTTAAATTAACAATTAACAGAACTTGACTCTAAAACATGTCAAGTAACACAGCCTAATTATAAAGCCAATTTTAGCCTTTCAGGTTCAGAAGCAGAGTTAGAGAGAGAGGAAAAAAAAATCAGTCCAAATCATCATTCCCAGGAAGGGGTTGGCAATTGAAACGATGCTAAGAAGTCAGGTTTAACTATTGCTGATCTTGAATCACCTCTGGTGGGTTACACTCTGAGCTGGCCTCACCAAAATTCATGAAAATTAACTTTCACAGGGTTTCCTCCTCTCATAGCCTGTTTTCCCTTCTCCCCCTCCCTATTCCCTCGCCAACACACATCCCTGTTTCTCTCTCTCTCTCTTGCTCTGTCTCTCGCTTTCTCCCTCTCTCTCTCGCTCTCTCACTCTCTCTCTCACTCCTTCCCCTTATTTATACCCCTCCCCCTTTCTCATACCCCTCTCAGTCTCACTGTCTTACTCTATCCCAAATAACTTCTAGAAAATATTCTATGGTGCCTAGCCGACCTTTGCAGAATTTAAAGAGAACTTTCTTTTTAAAAAAAGTATCACCAGGGAAATAAACAACAATGCATTGCAAAAACTGTATGGCAACCCTTGCTCTTTGTGACAACACACAAGTCTCTGAGATGGCAGTGCCACCAGCCTGACTATCAGCTGCAGGAGTACCCAGAAGCCACCAATGCTTACCAATGGCTAAACAGGATTAAGCTGGTGGCTTCCCAATACCTTACCTGCATGGCCAGAGCCCATGTCCCTCCTGCCACATTCCTATGCCCCTCCTGCCACATTCCTATGTCAACCTGAAACAGTTCCTACCTGCCTCCTCCTTGACTTTCAATGGCAGCAATAACCTGGGCTGGCTGTCCTGACCAGCCAAGAGGAACTGTTCAACCTAGTCCAGCTTCCAAAATGCTACTTGGCCTTTGTTTCCATGGTCATCCAGAACATCCCCCACAATAAGATGACTCACTGACAGATCTACCAATACATGGCCTTTCTACAAGAGGAGCAAGGCAAACTGTCAGAGCTCCATCTGCCACAACCTGTCCCTGACTGATTGCTTCATGAAGTTGCCCTGGGGCAAGGACAATCCAAGTAAGAAACCCCCTCTACAATCCCAGACCCCTCTCCTTTCTTTCTGTGAAATACTATGGATGCTAAAGATCCATAATGCAAGCAGAAAGCCTCCCAATTCCAGAGCCAGCCTGTAAACTCACCGCCATGGCTCCAGAACTCGGGCTGCTCGCTGCTACTCTACTCATGGAGTGGTTGTCTCCTGCATTTTGTTGCTATTGACTCACTGGTAAGCTGGCACAGCACACATGGGAAAGGGTCGCTGACTGGAGGAGTCACCACTTTCTAGATGAATGAAATCAAATTTGTAAACTCTTAAGACATTAGAAATGTTTGAATGTTATTATTTTATGAAAGGCTAATTTCTTCAAATGCTACAAGATGGGTTTAGGATAAATGAAATGGAATCTTTGACCTATTTGATCTAATTCTTCCAGAACATCAAATATATGGTCTTCCCATTACAGAATTGAGCTGCTTCTTAGATTGCCCTCAATCACGCTACCAGAAATTCAATCCTACTTTTGATCACCTTCTACATAGGAGCTTTCCAATATCTATCCTGATCTGCTCTTCCCAATTCTGAAACTTGTTAATATTTCAATGTTGTTACATTTACATGAACACATTTAATCAACCTCCTTCACAAACAATTGACCGGAAGTAACGGAATATTTTTCCAACAATTCTAAAATGGATCCGAAAGAAGTAATGCTGCAACATTAAGCATCTGTTACATTGTTGTTCAATGAAATTTAAGAGGTTAATTCACACTAGGAGAAAAAGTTTTCTATTTGCAATGTATAGAAAGTCACAAATGCTTCTTTTAAATATTCATATTAAAAGACCTGTCAAAAAGAGCCAAAAATATTTGACAGTTCACTTTAGCCATCCCACAAATGAACCTCCTGACTTTAAACCACCAAAGATTTGTGTTGCTTCATTTGGACAACTTTTGTCTCCTTGGGCTATTAACAGCTGAACTTTCTTCCCTTTTCTTTCTTCCCAAACCCTCCAAAAGATGAACAGTGCAACACCATGAGTAAATTGAGCAGCTCATCAGAAAACTTCCCTCAGAGACCTTGTCATCGAGCTGGGTTTCCTTACCAGATTCAGAAGCTGCACCCTGCAATCCAACTGGCTGACCTCGAAGAGCATATCAACCAAATGAAATCAGCAAAGGACTATGGCTTCAAGCAAGAGTATGAGGTGATGACCAGAGAACATGTTTGATGCTGAGATTATTTCAAATCTCTTGGCATACATCTAAACATGAATTAAATATTTCTATTCAAAGGAATGAAACAAAATTGTGATTTTGGCATAAGTCATTAGATTAATTTTGTGATGATCCCAAGATTTTTTCTTTGGCTGTCAGTTTTCAATCTTATCCAAGAAGAGACCAGCCTTACATCGCAGAAATAAAACCTTGAATAAACAGGACTGTAAACTTGAGTTTACACCCTTGGGTGTAGGCCCGAGGCGTCAGCCTTCCTGCTCCTCTGGTGCTGCTTGGCCTGCTGTGTTCATCCAGCTCTACACCTTGTTATCTCAGATTCTCCAGCATCTGCAGTTCCTACTATCTCTGTAAACTTTAAACATAATGTGGGGGAGAGAGGAGTTGAGAAAGGGGAAATATAGGCTTACGTATCAAAAGGTATATGGCAGCATTGCAGAATAGTTAGTTAGGTAACGATATCCAGAATGGTACGAGAACAGATAAAGTATACAAACATTAAAAAAATGCACTAAATTGGGTAAAAAGGGGAAAGCATGGTAAAAGTCAAAATTAATGGCTCTTTACTTGAAAGCACATAGTACAAAAAAAAAATGAAAAAATGACAGAAATAAAGCTTAATGTGTATAATCTCCCAGTGATAACAAAGACTTGATTACAAGGAAATCAAACCTGGGAACTAAATATTCAGGGCTATGTAACTTTTCGGGAGGATAGGTAAGAAGGAAAGAGTGATAGCTTTGTTAGTGTAGAATGGAATAAAACAACAAGAAACTATCTCAGTTCGCAAGATGTGGAATCCATATGGGTGGAGATAAGAAATAAAAATGGGAGAATGACATTGGTGAGAGTAGTCTATAGACCCCTATACAGTAGTTATAGGACGGAGAATCAGGACATAATGAGGTAAGGTATAAAGGGCATTACAATAATCATGCAAGACTTTAATCTTCAGTTTCCTAGAACAGCATGTTGTTTACCAACCTGGGGATTAGGCTATTTTGGATTTGGTAATGTTTAATGATACAGGTTTAATAAATGGGTCTCAGAGCAAAAGATCCCCTCGAAAGCAGTGACAATAAAGTGGTGGAATTCAGCTTTCAGATTGAGAATGAACTCAGGTCAGAAACAACTGTACCAAACTTAAATAAGGATAATTACAAATGAATGAAGGGAGAATAGACTGGAGTGGACTAGAAAGGGGTTTCGTGGAAAAGGCGGTTGATAAGCAATGGCAGGCATTTAAGGACACCTAGTTCATGGCCCACAACAATGATTTATTCCAATGATGAAGAATAATTTGAGGAGGGGGTAAAGCAACCAAGGTTAATCAAGGAAGTTAATAGTAACATCAAATTGGAAGAAAAAATATACAATGTGGCAAAGATTAATGGTAAGCCAGAGAATTGTGATTGTTTAATAATCCATCAAAAAATCACCAAAACGTAATGAGGAGGGAGAAAATAAACTTTGAAGGTAAACTAACAAGTAATATCAAGTAAGCAGTAAGAGGTTCTTTAAATATAGCAACATCAAGAGAAAGGCCAAGGGGAGCACAGGCCCCTTCAGGGAATGAGGTTGGGGAATGAATAATTGTGACTAAGGAAATGGCAGAGAAGTAGAATAAATATTCTGCATAAATCTTCGCATTAGAAGATATTAATAGCATTCCAAAAATGCTAAATAATCAAGGAGCAAAAGGAGAGGAAATAAATACAATAACTAACACTAGAGAAATGGCTCTATGGAAACTGAAGAGACTGTTTAATTCTCTATTCATTTGTGGGATGTGGGTATCGCTGGCTGACCAGCATTTCTTGCCCATCCCTAATTGCCCTTGAGAAAATGGTAGTAAGTTGCCTTCTTGAACCGCTGCAGTCCTCCTGTTGTGGGTTGACCCACAATGCTAATAGGGAGAAAATTGCAGGATTTTAACCCAGCAACAGTGAAGGAACAGCAATATATTTCCACGTCAGGATGGTGAGTGGCTTGGAGGGGAACTTGGAGGTGGTGTTGTTCCCATATGTCTGATGCCCTTGTACTTCTAGAAGGGAATGGCCGTGAGTTTGGAAGGTGCTGTCTGAGGATCTTTGGTGAATTTCTGCAGTGTATCTTGTAGATAGTACACACTGCTGCTACTGAACGTCGGTGGTGGAGGGAGTGGATGTAGTGCCAATCAAGCGGGCTGCTTTATCCTGGATAGTGTCAAGCTTCTTGAGTGTTGTTGGAAATGCACCCATCCAGGCAAGTGCTGAGTATTCCATCACACTCCTGACTTGTGCCTTGTAGATGGTGGACAGGCTTTGAGGAGTCAGGAGGTGAGTTACTCGTCGCAGTATTCCTAGCCTCTGGCCTGCTCTTGTAGTCACTGTGTTTATGTGGTGAGTCCAGTTGAACTTCTGGTCAATGATAACACCCAGGATGTTGATAATGGGGTTTCAGTGATGGTAACACCATTGAATGTCAAGGGGTGGTGGTTAGATTGTCTCTTTTTGATGATGGTCATAGCCTGGCATTTGTGTGGCACAAATGTCACTTGCCACTTGTCAGCCCAAGCCTGGATATTGTCCAGATCCTGTTGCAGAACATGGACTGCTTCAGTATCTGAGGAGTCACAAATGGCGCTGAACAGCGTGCAATCATCGGCCAACATTCCTACTTCTGATCTTATGATAGAGGGAAGGTCATTGATGAAGCAGCTGAAGTTGGTTGGGCCCAGGACACTACCTTGAGGAGCTCCTGCAGAGATGTCCTGGAGCTGAGACGATTGACCTCCAACAATCACGAATATCTTCCTAAGTATCAAGTATGACTCCACCATCGGAGAGTTTGCCCCCTGATACCCATTGATTCCAGTTTTGCTCAGGCTCCTTAATGCCACACTTGGTCGGCTGCAGCCTTGACATGAATGGCTGTCACTCTCGGCTCACCTCTGGAATTCAGCTCTTTTGTCCATGTTTGAACCAAGGCTGTAATGAGGTCAGCAGCTAAGTGGCCCTGGGGGAACCCAAACTGGGCGTCTCTGAGCAGGTTATTGCTGAGCAGGTGCTGCTTGATAGCACTATTGATGACATCTTCCATCACTTTTTACTGATGATTGAGGGTGGACTGATGGGGCGCTAATTAGCCGAGTTGGATTTGTTCTGCTTTTCCTATACTGCCAAGTACAGGACATACAGGACATACTAAAATTTTCCACATTATCAGGTAGATACCAGTGTTGTAACTGTACTGGAACAGCTTGGCTGGGGGAGCAGCAAGTTCTGGAGCACAAGTCTTCAGTACTATTGCCAGAATGTTTTCAGGGCCCATAACCTTTGCAGTATCAGTGTCTCCAACCATTTCTTTATATCATGTGGAGTGAATGGAATTGGCTGAAGACTGGTATCTGTACTGCTGGGGACCACTGGAGGAGGTTGAGATGGATCATCCACTCAGCACTTCTGGCGGAAGGTTGTTGCAAATGCTTCAGCCTTATCTTTTGCACTGATGTGCTGGGCTCTTCCATCATTGAGGATGGGAACATTTGTTGAGCCTCCACCTTCAATGAGTTGTTTAATTGTCCACCACCATTCATGACTGGATGTGGCAGGACTGCAGAGCTAAGATCTGATCCGTTGGTTGTGGGATCTCATATTTCTGTCTGTCACTTGCTACTTTCGCTATTTGGCATGCAAGTAGTTCTGTTTGGTGGTTTCACCAGCTTGATACCTCATCTTCAAGTGTGCCTGGTGCTGCTCCTGGCATGCCCTCCTGCACTTTCCATTGAACCAGGGTTGATCCCCTGGCTTGATGGTAATGGTTGAGTGGGGAAATGCCGGACCATGAGGTGACAGATTATCCTGGAGTACAGTTCTGCTGCTGTTGATGGCCCACAGCGCCTCATGGATGCCCAGTCTTGAGTCGCTAGATCTGTGCAAAGTCTGTCCCATTTAGCACAGTGATAGTGCCACACAACATGATGGAAGTTATTCTCAATGTGAAGGCAGGACTTCGTCTCCACAAGGACTGTGCGATGGTCACTCTTACCGATACTGTCATGGACAGATGCAACTGCAGCTGGCAGATTGGTACAGATGAGGTCAAGTATGTTTTTCCCACTTGTTGGTTCCCTCACCACCTGCCGCAAACCCAGTCTAGCAGCTATGTCCTTTAGGACCCGACCAGCTCGATCAGTCATACTGCTGCCGAGCCACTCTTGGTGCTGGCTAAAGGCTGATAGTCACCTGGACTTAATTGGTTGCATCTTAGGATACTATAAGAAGTAGCTTCAAAGATGGATGTACTGATATGATTTTCCAAGAATCCTTAGATTCTAGAAAAATCCCAGAGGACTGGAAAACAGCTAATGTAATGCTCTTATTCAGAAACAGCGGATCTCAAAACAAAACAGATAACTCCATGCAAGTTAGCTTGATTTCAATCATTGGGAAATATTGGTATTTTTAATAAAGGACGTAACAACAAAATATTTAGAAATACATAATATAATCAAGTAGAGTCAGCATGGCCTCATAAAGGGAAATCATGTCTGACAAATTTATTAGAATTCTTTGAGAAGGGAACAAGCAGGATAGATAAACGTGTAGCTGTAATACATTTGGATTTCCAAAGGTTTTCAACAAGGCACCACATGTAAGGCTATTTAATAATAACCCATGGATAGAGGATTGGCTGATAAATAGGAGACAGAAGTTGGGATAAGGGGGTCATTTTCAGAATAGCAACTTGTAACTAGAGTGCCACAGTTGTGGGATTACTTACAACATGTATCAATGACTTAGATAAGGGATATGAATGTTGTATCACCAAAGTTTGTGGGTGACGCAAAAATAGATGGGAAGGCAGATGGTGAAGACGATGCAAACAGTTTATAGAGCATTATAGACTGGTTAGACACCCTTATCCTGTAAATGAATTTTTAAAAAATGAGTAGGGAAAAAACTTGGCAGGATGTTTTACAGGATGAGTA